GGAAATTCTTAGAACAAGTTCATCTCCATATAAGTATTAAATAAATATTATTCATGTATATGCAAACTGAATTCTCCTACCATGACCAACAGAACCCATTACAAACAGGCCCGTGTTAAATACTTCAGTATTATTTCTTCTCCCATTCCTCATATTGAGTCTTCCAAACTCTGCTGAACCATATACATTCTCCATGCCTCGTGGCCTTTGCTTATGCTGTTCTCTCTGGAATGCCTTTCCCTAATTTTGTCTGCCTATTGGCCGTGTAAGCTTCAGTTCAATATTGAAACAGTTATACCTTCAATTTGGTAATATTACTTCTAAATGATGCAAAACAGAATTATTTTTGCAAAAAATGTTTTTTGTTCCTCTTAAGAGCTAAAATAGGAAGCAATGTCTTTTCCTCCCTCTCTTAATTTCAGTGCTATGCTTACTGTTGCCTTCTGTAAACTAAAGACTCCCCCAAATGTATCTCGAGCCCAAAGTGAGCTCTGAGATCTTGAATAAATTTCTTAAACTCACCACTGAACCTCCATGCTTACGACTCGAAGGCCTCTCAAACTCCATATATTCAAGGCCGAACCCAATCTTCCTACCACAACTGCTTCTTCCCTGCCTATACTTATTCAAGTAAATGACCTGCTGGTCATTCTTGCCACTGTCACTATCCATTCCATTAACAAACTGTGGACATTTCTCAACACAGTCCCCTGCTACCCCTTTACTTCTGTTTCCTTAATTCATGATTAGTTAGTGCTGCAGCCAGAGGGATCATTTTGAATGCAACCTTACTGGATTTCTCCTTTGTTTAAAAGGAATCAATAGCTTTCCCGTCTATAAAACAAAATTCAGTATTCTTACTGTGACATGTTAAGCCTTATATGATTTGGACTCTGTCTACCTCTCTATCTTCATCTTAAGTCGATCTCGTCCTCACAAGGAGGAGACTTGTCTGACATCTTCGGATTCCTCCAACTTGCCAAGCTACTTCCTGATTTGTGGTCTTTATTTGTGCTTGTATAGATCCATCCATTCTTCCAGTCCCAGCTTAAATGTCACATGAACTCATGCCTGACTCCCCACATGAGCAATGTTCTTTCCATTTTTATGGAATCCTATTCTTTATTCTCATGCCTATGTTGGAATTTTAATTAATAATATTTTAATTAATTTCTTACTCTCTTTTCTCCTCCATTTTCTCATAAATTCCTCAAAGGCAGAGGCTTTTTCATGTTTATAATTAAACCCACATTTCTTTGCAGAACATCTCTCACATAATCGGAACACGATAGATATTTTTTGAATTGGTGAAATGGCCAACGTTAGGTAAGTGGGCAAATGAATTAGAGTAAATTCTTGTCATGGAGTATTCTGTCGCTGTGAAAAAATATACACTAAAAAGTGTCGATGTGTGAAAATGCAAATCAGAACTACAGGTGAAAAATACAAAAATACAAATTATATACATAGTCCTCTAACAGAAGATAGATGTGGCAGGTAGATAAATGGCTCCTTCCCCAAATCCCTGGAACCTGTAAATATGTTACATTATGTGGGAAAGGGGGAATTAAAGTTGCTAATCAGTTGACTTTAAAATGAGGAGATTATCCTTGATTATTTGGTTGGACCCCATATAGTCACAAGGGTCTTTTAAATCTGAAAGAGGAAGCAGAAGAGTCAGATTGAGAGTCAAGCTGCATGGGAGAAACTCAAGCAGCCACTGCTAGCTTTGAAGACACAAGGGAAGCACGAGCCAAGGATTGTGGACAGCCTATAGATGTTGAAAAAGTCAAGGGCATGAATTCTCCCAGAAACTCCAGGAAATACATAGCCTTGCATTCTTAATATTACCCCAATGAGACCCATTTTGGATTTCTCACCTCCAGAACTCTAAAAGAAAATACTTTTGGGTTTTAAGACATTAGTCTGCAGTAGCTAATTTGTTACAGCAGCAACAGGAAGCTAACATAAGAGAATATTTGTGAAGAGGAGACTTCTCACGTATTTTTTCCTTTTCAAATTTTATATGGTTTTGCGGACAAGCTCTCCGCAACTTGTATTTTCTCTACCTTTTGTCCTATCTGATCAGTATAGTTTCTAACACTGTGCTTCAGACTGCCATATTTCTACTCAACACATGAAATAAAAAAAAAAAAAATCTGGAGAAACTATCTGGCTCACAAACGCAAGCATTTTTTTCCCCAAAGACATGTTAAGTAAAAATGTAGACAGAACATATCCAGAGAAATTTCATAATTTTTCTTGCTAAAATGATGAATGAATACATTTTCATCAGGTACATTCATATTACAAAAGGACTTTAGAAAATGTCTATACAGCTTGATGACTTTTAGCACTGAAAGACAGAAATAGCTCCCAGGATAATACTATTGTCCTTTTACGGTTTTAACATTTTCTTGCACCTTTCGAGCAGTACTAAAACAAGCAATGGATTTTGGAATCTATGAAATATGTCATAGTTACTGAATGAGAAAGAAAAGGCAAATCCTCAATGATTTTTAAAAATTTTTTTTAATGTTTATTTATTTTTGAGACAGAGAGAGACACAGCATGAACGGGGGAGGGTCAGAGAGAGAGGGAGACACAGAATCTGAAGCAGGCTCCAGACTCGGAGCTGTCAGCACAGAGCCCGACGCGGGGCTTGAACTCACAGACGGTGAGATCATGACCTGAGCCAAAGTCGGAAGCTCAACCAACTGAGCCACCCAGGTGCCCCATAATGATTTTTTTTTAATACTACCAGCATCTCCTAGATGCTTAAACTGTCTGAAATATACTCTGTGAATAAAATACACATGGACACCTGATAGTTTATATTTAGGAAAGATGGAAGACAGCAAAGTCTTTAAGGATAGTGAATTCACTTATGAGATTAGGAAATGCACTCCACAATTATACACTCAGCAATACCATTCCCATCTCCATCATAGTATGAGTGCAAGATAAATTGACCTTTGAAAGCTTTCAAATTTAAATTAGCATAAAACATAAGCTTTCTTCACAAACTTGACATGAAAGAATTTTTAAGCAGAAGTATAAAATATTATCAATTATATGAATGTCATGTTCCTAAATAACTCATACAATTTTTTTTTCCCCCTAAAGACTTTCCTAGTTATTTCCTGGTTAACGGATTAGGAATCTGTTTTTGTTTGTGCATATGACCAATTCCCTGCAACTTCATAAATATCCTATCAAAACCATATGAAAATCTGCCACTGAGCACAGGCAATTACCTAGAGAGAGAGAGAACACCAAGAATAAAGGGAAAAACCTAGTGCAAAGCATTCATTGAAGCTGGCTTCATTTCCCTCCAGCCCCTTCTGGTGGCAAACACAGTGTATTGCTGAATCCTGTAGCACTGACAGAAAGAATTCACTGCAAATTTTAACACTTAAGGTATTGCTCAACATCTTTATTGCTTCTAAACCAGCCTAAATACATTTTTAACTTTTTCTGTAGTTCCAGGTATGCAATCATAATACAAGCATATCACGAAGGATTACTTTAAAGTCTCCTTCCAAAATTGAACATCTTTGAGCTAATTTACTTGTAGACATCATGAGTTTTTTCAACCTCTGCTCTTAAAAGAAAAAAAAATGGAAAAAAGCAGGATCAAATATTAGAAGACTATACACAAATACACAAGTACCCATATATAGAGTCTCAGCCTGGGATTATATATAAAAGAAGCATTTTTATAAGAACTGTGCCAAACTTTTCCTCATTAGATTTAGAATGTGGTATTATTTAGTGTCATTAATACATAACATTTCTTGAGATCTTCTATGAATACCTGGAATAATGTTAAAATATGTCATACACATGATATTATCTGATTACACAGTAAGATAATGAGATAAGTATTATTATCTCCATTGAATGGATACCAAGATGTAATCATTTGTTTGGCAAATTTTTAAGTAACAAATAGAAAAATTTTAAAGTCAGAGACAACTATGAACTTTCATATTCAATGAATAACTGAATGAATGGATGTATCCATTACTTAAAATCATGTATATATCAAGGACTAAACATTGGGAATTTAGCATGAAAAAGACTCATCACTATATTGAAAGCATTCACTGTATGATTCACTGTATGCAAAAGGCAGAAATGAAACAATCAAACTATCATGGTATCTGTTGTGACTGAAATATAGGTACAAAATGTTAAGTCTACCAAGAAGATCACCCCTAAATGTATATGAAGACACAGAAAGGGCATCAGATGGTTAGTGATCAGAATCTGCCCATTAATCGCATTAATCCTCTATTCCCATGATCATTAAGCAACCAAGGAATTATAATTTGCCTTTGTACTTGGATTTCCTGCTGGGATAAGATGCATGAGCCAGAAGATTCAAGCCCTTCATTGCATCTGTCATAATTTGAAATGTGAGATTTATTTACATAAAGTGGACAGAGATCATCTCTACCTTGTTTATTACTGATTTCCCAACAGCCTACAGAGTACTGGGCACACAGTGTGTGTGACTTGCTAAATATCTGCTCAGTGACTCCACATGGCCGAAGCATCCTGCCAGCCTCTTTAAGGACATCTCTTCGTCACAATCCTTCAGCGCAGCACTATCCTATATGTCCAAACATTTTCAAAACTTTCTGATACCACTAACTGTGACAATTAAATGGCATGAATTCTGTAAAGGCGAAAGGCTAAGGCATACAGCGATTTACCCTTCAGTGTAGTTTACTGATGGGCATTTTTTTTTTTAAATGTTAAGATTTTATTTACAAAGCTTCTTTGTTGTACAGAAAGTAAAAATGCTGTTACAGTCTCGGTGTAACTGGTAGCCACAGACGGTTGACTCACCAATCACAGCTATCCACTCTACAGCAAGAGTCTTACACGAAAACCTAACAAACGCTTACAATTTTGTTGGGGTGAAGTCCCCAAGCTTGGTGGTGAATTTCCAAGAGGGACTAAATGGAGGAAGGTGGAATGTCACAGGAACTATTCTTTGGCTCTTTGGGTGGGTGGGTATCCTGGGGTTTGTATCACAGCTACCTTTTTTTTTTTAAACAGCTACCAAATCCGTATGAGCAGTCCAACAAATACTGAACAGTTCTTTTTTTGCAAGTTATTTGGGGTCTTAATCATCTTCTCCTTCATCGTCTGTTTCTCTCTTCCTCTTTTCACCTTTCCCACTTTCTTCCTCCTCTTCATCTTCATCTTCATCCTCCTCGTCTTCATCTTCATCAACTTCTCCATCGTGTCCAAATTCTTCTTCCTCCCCACTGACTTCGTCTTCATCATCTTCCCCTTCTACATCTTCGTCTTCATCTTCATCGTCTTCATCATCAAACTCTTCCTCCTCACCATCCTCATCCTCCTCGTCCTCCTCATCTTCTCCTTCTTCATCCTCCTCTTCTTCATCCACACCATCCACCTCGGCATCTGAGTCAGGCGCTTCCCGATCCTCTCGGTCATAGCCATCCAGGTAGGTCAACTGAGGCAGGAGTTTAAAGACACTCTCTCGGTAGTCATTCAGGTTAGTAACCTCACAGTTAAACAGATCCAGGCTTTTCAGATATTCCAACTTTTTCAAAGGTTCCAAGGTGCTGATATCTTTCAGCTTATTTCCACTTAAGTTTAGATGTGTGAGATTTGGAAGTTTTTCTGCTAACATGTCCAGACCTCCAAAGATTCTATTGTCACTGAGCTCAAGCTTTTTCAATTTAGGTAGTTTGGGGAGATTTGAAACTGAAATCAAGCCTACATTTATTAAACTGAGGAACTCTAAGTTCACAAATTCAGCTGTTAAGCCCTCAATTTTCCCATCATTTGATTTGCAATTGTCCAGAACAAGTTCTCGAACAGCTGCCGGAGTCCGGTTCCTCAGCTCCAGGTGGATCCTCCTCTTCATGTCCATGTTTCCCTCTTCCCCCCTCTTCAAACTTAACTTTCCGCGGCGGGGGCGGAGGGGGGAGAGGCGTCCCGGCCTGCGCAGCGAGGGCCGTCGGAAGGGGTCTGCTGGCGGCAGAGGCCGGCGGCGCGGTCCCAGGAGGCGGGCGGCGTGCAGGCAGGCGAGCGGAGCCCCCGGAGCCAAGTTACTCACGGGAGCGGAGAGAAACCATGGAGGGAAAAGGGGGCTGGAGCGCAGCGCTGGTCTCACTACCGCCGCCCCCGGCCGCGGCCCCGCACTTACTGATGGGCATTTCAATAAAAGGCAGGGAAAGGAAGGGGACTGAGAAAAGATGGTTTGGTCTATCACACCATCTCCAAGAGGGACAGACCGTGCCACTGTCACCTCTGCATCCTACTACTCTGCGAAGTGTGTGGCACATAGTAGACAATCAGGTATCTGTTGAAGAATGGACAACAATATACATACAAAGCTACATATTTTGCAGAGTGGACCACAAATTAAGAGAATACTGAGTAAGAATCTGAAAGACATAAACACGGAAAATCACTAGAACCAGTCACACAAAAGCTACGGTAGTGTTCGTGTATTCAGTCACAGCAGAAAGAAAGACTGTATACATTCATCTGGACCGAGCCTCATTGAGGTCTATGCCAAGTATGCATGGCAAAGCAGCAGAAAAAGCACAATCATTCCTAAAGTCAGAGAATTGAACTTCATGAGTAAGGTTTTGGCTAGAAAATTGCTATCCCCATAAACATTTCATGATTTCCAAGGAACATGACAAAATTTCTATCAATAATGCCATAAGATAAATATTTGGCTTAATTCAAAAATAGTTCAGATCATTCTTTTATTTAAACCATTTCCCCATATAAACAAAGCATGGAAATAGCCTGGATGCTCTTCAAAAGACTCTAAAGAACTCAATGACCCATATAATAACATTATTTAACAAAATTTCTCCCAGACTATAGCAAAATAGTTTTCATTTTTTTTCCATCACTGCAATTTATGTGTAATATGAATACTGCCCATTTAAAACACAGAAAATTCTCATACCCCTTTAGTAATCAAAAGTTATTGCTAAACAGCATTACTAGCATAAGGCTTTGTAGAAGCAAGGTTTAAATATTCTAAATCTGAAAGCTATCACATACCATATCAACATTTTTATACTACCTGGTGCTTTAATATATAAATCCACAGCACACACTTCTCATAAAACGGTACCAGTATATTAATCACAGGAAGTCTTGAATCCCTTTTTCTGAAGGAAGGGTGCTTTATAATTCCTATCAAATGAACTATGTCCGTCACAGGCCAGTAGATAGTGTAGAAAAATACTACCAAACGTGACTGAAATAATTGTCATGTCTTTCATTTTCTATAGAAATCCCACTCTTAAAACAAGAGAATACACAAAGACATGCATGTTGAAAGGGTTGTTCGTGGGTTTCATCGTTGTTTTCTTCAGTGCAAAGATTTGTCCAACAGAAAATTGAGTTGGGTTTCAGTTCCTTTTCAACACACAGAACACATGGTTTATGGCAATTGTTGCTACAGTGTAAAATCACAATTCTTTCAGGTGTGCTATTCTTCCATGTCTTACTCACAAAAATCCAGAACAATGCAGTTTTCAGACCTCGTTTGGATTGGTTTTCCTGAATCAGAAAAGCCTCTGAAGAGAATTTTCCTTCAATTAATAGACTTTGCGATCTTCAACGAAGGAAAATGTATGCTACCTCACATGAATCAGATAATAGTCACAATCTGCTTTGCATTCCTTGAGGAAATGTACTAGGTAATTGCTACATTCCTACAGAGCACTTTCCAAAAATGGGTGTGTAGAAGTTAATATGGCTTTCAGCATTCCAGATCCTGAATGTAATACTTAATTATCTTAATATAAAGGAAAAATAGTAAGAATTACTGATTTAGCAAAGATAAACGAGTAACTAAAGCTACTCTTTTTACTTTTGATTCAATGCTTCATGTTTTTATATCCATGCTTCTTACTTGCAGGTAGCACTAATTTAAATGTAAAACATCTACCTAAATTACTGAATTTTAGGATTTAACATATCTGAAGTGGATATAGATGCATTCATACATGTGAGGGCAGGAGGCCTAACATAAAGAGAAGATACAATGAAATTTCAATTACTCAGAATTTGCAGTAGACTGGAATGTCTTTGCAATGCTAATACTGAGGGGGAAATAGCAGCTGTCAAAATGAACTGTAGGAATTAGGTTGGAAAAAAATCCACATATTCAGGATATATCCTACAGTCGTTACACACAATCAGTACAATTCCTCTAGTGTTTTATGCCCTTACAATGTACTTACAAAAGTAATGGTGAATATTTGACTAGTGTTCAAATTCTACAAATGACAGAACAGAATTTCAGACATGTCGAATGACTGTCCCTAGCTCCCTAGCTTACAGTGAATTCCTTGGGTCAAGTCCTCTAATTTTATTAGGAAAAAAACTAAACACAACAAAACAATAAACAAACACCAATCTCTAAATCAGACTCAGACCACACTATGAAACTTATACAAATACAGAATATATTGTAATAGTGATACATAAATCACTTTTAACTCTGGTATAGAGAAGTTAAAAGACAAAAGTGTAAAAGATAACTATAACAATAAACTTATGTTAATGGATATGCAATGTATTAAGATGTAATTTGTGACATCAATAACAAAGTGTGGGTAAAATGAGGAGTAAAAAAAGCAGCTTTTGTGTGCAATTAAAGTTAAGTTGTTATGCGCTTGAAAAATATGGTTAGAACTATACGATATTTATGGAGTGTCATGGGAATCACAGAGAAAATATCTATAAGAAAAGAAAAAGAAAATGGAATCAAAGCATATTACTTCAAAAAACCCAACAAATCAGAAAGGAAGAAAGCAAGAGAGGGAAAATGACACAAAATAATTGTAAGACAGAAAGCAATTAACAAAATGGCAATAGCAAATCCATACCAAACAATAATCAAATGTATCAGATTAAACTTGCCAAACAAAAGACACGGAAGGGTTGAGTGGATTAAAAAAAAAATCCAGTTTTTTGCTATCTACAAGAGACCCGGTTTATTTTTTTTCTAATGTATATTTGCAGAAATAGAAAGAAAATCCTAAAATGAATATGAAACCACCAAAGACCCTGAAGAGTCAAAACAATTTTGAGACAGAAGAACAAAGCTGAAGGCCTCACACCTTCTAATTTCAAAACATATTACAAAGCAAAAGTCATCAAGAGTATGGTACTAGCATAAAGACAAACATACAGACCAATGCAAAAGAGTGGAGAACCCAGAAATATACCCACACATATTTGGTCAAATGATCTTTGATAAGGGTGCCAATATAACAATGGGGAAAGGATAGTCTTCAACAAAATGGTGATGGGAAAACGAGACATTCACATGAGAAATAAAACTGGACCCTTATCTTATACCATACATGAAAATGAACTCAAAAATGGATTAATGGCCTTAAATGGTCTTAAAAAGAAGACCTAAGGCCATAAAAATCCTAGAATAAAACACAGGAAAAAACAAGCTTTTAAACGCTAGCATGAACATAACATTGAAATGATTTCTTGGATATGACATCAAAAGCATAAGCAATTAAAGCAAAAATAGACAAATGGGATTACGTTAAACTAAAAAGCTTCTGCATAGCAAAGGAAACAACCAACAGATTATAAAGCAATCTATGGAATGGGATAAAATATTTGCAAACTATGTATTTGTCATGGTCTTTAATATCCAAAACATGTAAGAAATGCCTACAATAAAACAGTAAATAAACAAATAACCCTACTAAAAATTGGACAAATGACTTGAACAGATATTTCTCCAATGAAGACACACAAATGACTAACCTGTATATAAAATATGTTCGACATCAGTAATAATCAGGGAAATGGTAAGCAAAATCACAAAGAGCTATATCACTTCATACCTGTTAGGATGGCCATTATAAAAAATAAAAATAAAACAAAATAAAATTACAAATGTTGATGAAGATATGAAGAATTAAAACATTGTGCACTGTTTGGGGTAATGCAAAATAGTGTAACCACTATGGAAAACAGTATGGAGCTTCCTTTCAAAAAAAAAAAAAATGGAATTGCCATGGCACTCAGCAATCCCACTTACAGGTACTTATCCAAAAAACACTTAAAGTGGGCTCTCAAAGAGTTACCTGCACTGTCGTATTTATTGCAGCATTATTCAAAATATTCAAGAGATAGAAATCTCCGATCATTCATCAATGGATGAATGGATAAGGAGAATGTGACGCGTACATACAATGGAATATCATTCAGCCTTAAACAAGAAGGAAATCTTGACATATGCTACAATATAGAAGGCAGCTATGCTCACCACTATACCACCAACACCTGCATATGCTACAATATGGATGGACCTTGAAGAAATTATGCTAAATGAAATAAGCCACTCTCAGAATAACATATACTGTATCATTCCAATTACCCGAGGTGTCTAAGGCAGTCAAACTCACAGAAGCAGGAAGTGGATTGGTGGTAGACAGGGGCTAGAGGAAGAGAGTAATCGGAAAGTTGCTGTTCAATGGGTATAGACTTTTAGTCTTTCAAGATGAGAAAGTTCTAGACATCTGCTGTACTATAATGTGCATGTAGTTAATAGCATACTGTACCGTTAATATTTTTAAAGGGTAGATTACATGTTATGTGTTTTTACTACAATTAAAAAAAGGAAGCATAAAAAATTAGATGTTCAATAATTCCCCACATTCACACATATGCATACATTCATGCACAAACATGTGTTTAATTTTCAGCAAGCTGCATAGCACAGTTGCTTTAGTCTTTACTACAATGCTTACTGTATAATGAACTTAAGAGGCAGTTTCCTAAAAGCTTTGTTCTATAAGATTTCTGCTGTCAGCATAAGTGTCTAATCTGTTTGACACATTAGTTTCCTTCAATCATATCTCATTTAATGTTCATCAAAATCTGGTGTGGTGATAATTGTACATATACCCGTTTTTGCAGGTAAGAAAATTAAGGCACAGAATTCTTAAGTAAGGAGATAGTAAGTAGTGTGGCTTAGAATTAAGTTATATCTGTTGAACTCTGTTAAGTCTAGGATTCTATCCATGGTTTCAGTCCATGAGAAGAACTGGGCATTTAGATTTATTCATTGGTAAATCGATTTGTTACTATGTGATCCTGGGGAAAAA